TGACTCTCTGAAGTAATATAGTGCAAGTGCATATGCACATGCTTTTGCACAGCAGCATTTCACCTATTTTGAAATGTAATTATTGTATTGGCTAATGTGTCCCCTGGTATTTCTTAGATGTAAACCATTAATAACATGATCTTTTCTAACAGTTTTTTGAGGGATGCTTCTTGATTAAGTGGGTAATTTTAAACACCTCGTTAAATACAGCTAGAAAATAAAACCAGTTTGTAAAGCCACATTTGCACATGATGCCAGCCTCACACATTTGTGTATCCCCAGAAACCCAGGTATGCCTCACCATTTTGACCATCTTTAATAAAATTATGTGTTAAATTTGAAAAAAAATTATTTTGAATTCCTTTTTCAACATCATGCTATTTGCCTTAGCTTTGAACTTTTCTTTTACATGATTAAACTTATTCCTGGGTAACAGGAACCTCTTGCTCCCCTTCCTCTAATCCCTTTATAATATTAGAATACTCTAGCATGCTGAAATATTTTAAGTATAATATTTAGATGCCTTATTATGAGGATTAACAGCTTTATTTCATCTCACTATCAGCAAGTTAGAGCAACTAAGGTGCAAGATTTTCCCCTTTATTCTCCCCACCACCACCCTCACCTCACCTTACTCCACTCCCACAATAACCTACTTTCCTAAATTCTTCTTCCTCATTCTCTAACACCTACTGAGAAATTGAGAAGCCTATTCTTTTCTGGGCCATAACAACACCTTGTTCCAGAGCAATCTTAAATGCGTGCTCAGCTTTGGTAGGCTTTCCCAGATGTTCTTCCTCTCCCCTGGGGACTAGACTGAACAGGGGGCAGAGAATCCCTTTTTACATCAGGTCAAAGATGCCTTGAGGGTAGGGCGGAAAAGAGGGAGTGATGCCCTGATATCAGTAGCTCAGGGTCAAGACTCTGACGATTCAGTCTGATGGTTTACCCTTTAGAACTCTCCACTAGAAGAACTTAGAATTTGGTACACGTAATAATTTAGGCCTTAAATATAAAAAACCTTTTAGTAAGATCTGACAAATCTAAAACTGAACCACAAGGAAGAAATTTGTTTTTTGTTTGTTTGCTTTTGAGAGTTCTTGTAATTCTCCAATATTTTGAATATCAGTGTTTTTGCCACTAGACCTGATGGATTGATTTATTTAATAAATATGTATTGAGCATTTTCCCTACTGCCTACCACTGTATTCCAGAGCAGCACTTCTCAAAAGTTAGGGCACATAAGAATTAGAGATTCTTAAAAGACAGATTCCTGTGCCCCGCTCCCGGAGATTCTGATTCAATAGTTCTGGGGTAACACCCAGCCCAAGAATTTGCATTTCAAACAAGTTCCCAGGTGATGCTGATATAGCCAGAAAAGAGACTATGCAATGCTAGCACTAGGTTATAGCGACAAGCCAGGCCTTTGAGAAGTTTTTGTTCCAGCCAGGTCCAAATGCACCCAAAAAACTATGACTAAAATGCAATGACAACTGCTGTGGAAGGAGCTGGGCACAGAAGAGGGGCACCTAATTCATTGGGAGGAGAGGGACTATAGACGATGACACCTGATCTGTGTCTTGAAAGATAACTAAAATGAGCCAAGCAAAGAAAAAGGAGAAAAGCAATCAAGAGAGGAGATTGGTTGAATAGAATTTGCCAAATCTTGAAATTGGCTCGAAAGGCAGGCAGAGAGCAGACTGTGAGTTTACGTAGAGAAGACTTAAGCAGAGGGAAAATATGGCTGAATTTGAAATAAATTACTCCAGTGCACAGTTTAAATGGTAGAAAAAATGTCAATGATGTCTAATGTATTTTCCCATTAGGTGAATCTTTCATTGTACTTCAAAACTTATGTTCATGATAAGGTTATTGATGAAACAAGATCAATCACAAGTAAATTAGTAAAACTGGATGATAAATACAAATATGTTATGAGGGTTTATCAGGTTGTCACTATGTAAGTTTGGAGTTTTTCATAATGAAGAGTTTCTTTTCGAGGGGAAAAAAGTATGTGCTCTTACAGCTATAAAAGGTAAAATAAGTGAAGAATATACTATGTAATTCTATTTGTAATCTCTTTACCAGCAGTTTTGTTGGTTGAGTGGTCAGTCTTTACAATACAAGTAATTCGAGAGCAATCTAACTCCCAGAAAAGCCAGAAGGAGTATTTGTTGCAAATTAAAGTTGACCCTTTTAAAAGCACTCCACATTCATTGAATTCAGTTTAGGGGACCTGAGGCAAGGAACATTGTTGTTTTCTAAGAGTGTAAACCCAACCTAGAGAGCCGTTAGAAACTGGTTATTCACATAAATAGTTTGCAAACCAGGGAGACTTCTGGGGGAAACAAAGTATGCTCCCCTAGACAAGAGAAAAGTCATCTTTTATAGAGAATTTTCCCAACCACTGTTCCCGTTTTGGTCCATTTTATGTAAATGAGGTTTCTGAATTGTACGGGGTTTTTTTGGTATACAATTTGTATAGTGTTGATAGCACAGGGCAGGTCTCAGTCAACTAGTCAAAAGATGAAACCAGGGCTTCTCTTCAGTGGTTGACTGAGACATCATAAAAAAGCAGGGCACAATGTGGGAAGCCAAGAGTTCAGTCTGAGGTTCCTCCTGGCACACAGAGTACATGCGAAGCCCCTGCCCGCAAATGACTGCTAGACTCTCATCATTTGTAAGTTTGGGCCCTCGGTTAACCATGGAAAGTCCGTCTCAGCAGATAAATTCCTTTTCAGGGTTCACGTCAAATGAATTTTTCTTCTCTGGGTCCAAAAGTGTTATTTTATATATCACACTGAAGTAAAATTTAATATTTAGATGGCTCCTACCCTCTATTTGCTTCCAGATCCTTAGATGTCATTTAAACCCATTTCTTCATTAACGAATAACATAGAACATCTACTATTTGCTTGGTACTGTTCTAGAACAGTAGTTCTCAAACAGTAGCATGTGAAAAAAATCAACTGGAGAACTCTTTAAACACAGATTCCTAGTGACCCCCACCAGAGATTCCTATTCAGTAATTCTGTGGTAAAGCCCATCCACTTGTGTCCCTAACAGGCTCCCAGGTGATGCTGATGGTGCTGGCCTATGGATCACACTCTTCTAGGGCTGGGGATACTACACTAAACAAAACAGACAAAAATTAAAATAATTGCCCTCATAGAACTTATATTTTAGTAATAGTGGGGAGATTGAAGATGATGATAGGTGATAGATGATATAGATGATAGATAGATAGATAGATAGATAGATAGATAGATAGATAGATGATAGAATATTATGCAAGATGATGATAAATGCTATGAAGAAAAAACAAGTAGAGAAGTAAAGGCTGTGGGAGACATTATTGAGAAGGCGATATTATAGATTTAAAAGAAGGGAGAAATCAAGCTGGTTAGATTTGTAATGGGGAGGAATAGATCTGAGAGAGATAAAAGGGCCAAAGCACTGATTCTGGAGTTTCCTGGCTTGTTCTAGTATCAGCATTGAGGCCAGCTCATGGGGTGGAGGAGAGAGAGCACAAGGAGAAGAGACAGAGGTACACTACAAGGCTAGAGGAGGGCTTGTGTAATGCAGTAGTTTGATTTGTTACTCTGAATGTGAGAAAGCCAAAGGAGGATTTTGAGCAAAAGAATAGTTTGATGGGACATGCCTTAAAAAATTTTTTTTTATTCTGGTCAAAAGGCTGAGACTAGATAATAGGCTAGGTTGCAAATAGGAAAATCACTAAGGAGGCTATTGTAATAATGTAAGCAATAGATGGTAGTTTGAATAGGTCGGTAGCCTTGTGGACACCTGGCAAAGGTCAAGTGACGCCAGTGTTGGCATACTTGCCAATGTGAGCTTACTTTTTTGCCAGGGTATGCAGATAATTTCAAGCTCAAAAACAAAATAAATACATGTTCTTTAAAAAAAAAAAAAAAAAAAGACCATTTCTTGCTACTCTGCTGGTTTGCTGGTTGTACAAGATTTAGTCCATGTGATGATCAAAAACTCAAATAGTGGAAAAAGGAAACATGGGGAAAGATTAAAAGAAAGAAGCAATTGGATTCTAGATATGTTTTGATGGCATAGTCAACAAAGATGGCTTTATAACTTTGGCCTGAACAACTAGACAGACCGATGGAGTTGTCATAGATTGATAGAGAAGACCATAAGAGGAGACTGTGTAAGGAGGAACATTGGGAGTTTGGTTTTGGAAATATTCATTTTGTGCTGCCTATTAGAAATCCAAGTGGAGATGTTAAGTTGGGTGTTGGATATATGAGACTTGAGATTGGGGAATAGGTCTGGGATAAAGATATACATTTGAAAGTCAAAAGCTTATAGATGGTATTTAAAGTCATAAGAAAAGGCATGATGAGATCACCAAGGTAGTGAGAACTAAGCTTTGGTACACTTTAACTTTTAGATAGATACACAGAAGATAAGGAAGAACTAGAAAGGAGACAGAGAGAACCAATCAGGAGATTTAATTCAAAACTTACATTTAGTCATTGTTTTTTGTTTGTTTGTTTGTTTGTTTATTACCCATGGTCACTTCTTCACCTATCAGGTCTCTCAACTAATTCCAATAATAAACGAATGAATAAACAAATATTTCCTGGACAATAAATGTTTGTTAAATTACCAAATATACATACTTATATGTATGTACATGTATTGATAAGAAATAGTTACCTATAGAATGAGTTTATTAGGTAGAGTGAAACAATGTAAAGAAAAGAGAAATAAGATAAAGAGGCTCAAATATATGGTGATGATTGAACTAGACTATTGGTGATGAGCATGATGTAGTACATACAGATGTTGAATTATAATGTTGCACAGCCAAAACTTATATAATGTTATAAATCAATGCTACCTCAATAAAAAATAAATTTTGAAAGAAAAAAAAACAAAAAAATTTATGACTCGCTGAAGACTCAGATGATAGTTAACATTTTTAGCAATAAAGTATGTTTAATTAATGTATGTACATTGTCTTTCAGATACAGTGCTATTACATACTTAATAGACTACAGTGGAGTATTGGAGAAAGTTTCCAATTAGCAATAATCGAACCTCGGATAAACCTCATGTGTCTACGCAAAGCTACAGTGGTGTAAACATAACATTTATATGCCCTGGAAAACCAAAATATTTGTGTGACTCATGTTATCACGGTATGTGCTTTATTGTGATAGTCTGGAACAGAACATGCAATATCTCGGAGGTATGCCCATAAAATCTAAAATAAGGGTTTCACCGAATCACTTCCATTTGTGGCTCTGGACTCCAGCACATTATAACACACCCCTCCTCCAACCAGACAGCCTACCCAAACAAACCCAAGGTCTCCGACAGCTTCTGAAGCATTCTCAATCTTATTCAAATTGCTTTCCTGGGCAAAGAATGTAGTAAGTCTGCCTCTAGCTACCAGCCCCACTTCCCTTTGGTCTTTCACTCCGGAGGCTCTTACACTAGATACAATGGAACACGAGTTGGGGGGATGGGGTGAATTTGTCCCGGGCTTTCCTGCAAAGACCCCCATCAGCAAAGAATGAAGATTCTGGTACCTGCAGTTTAGAGAGCTGCAGGAAAACTAAGCATGGTGGCCTTGACTGCGTTCGTCTACAAACTGCTGATTGAGGGCCGGGAAGTCACATTTTCCCCTTTATAAATTTTCCCCCCATTTTTATTAAGATGTAAATTGACATATAATTCTGTATTAGTTTAAAGTTCACAACATAATAATTTATGTATATGTTGCAAAATGATTACCGTAGTAAGTTCATCCACTACCTCACATTCCCTTTTTTAAAGAAATTGTATTCTAGTTCTAATGAAACAGAGACCATTTGCCTGAAGCACAATGTATTTCCACCCACCTTCTCCTTGACTCCCCTATTCAAATCCTTTCCCTCCAGAAGGATGGTCTGTGAAAACAAAGAAAAGGTTATATAGAAGTTCATCCCCTCATTGGGACCCTGCAGTATTTTAATGCTCACAAAGTTGGCATCTTTGCATTGTGAATAAAAATCAGCTGGCATGGGTGCAAAGCCAGCAGCTCTAGGTGGAGACCTAAGTAGCAGAGTGCATAGGGGGATTAGTCAAGAGCTGTAACTTAGAAAAATATATAATTGGTATTTGCTAAGGGTTCTTTTAGGGGTGGGAGACTGAAAAAGAGGAAGAAATCTTGTTTCTTGAGTGTTGAATTTGGGAATGGGGAGGAAAATTGAAAGCCATAATCTGTTATCTTTGTCATAAATAGGTTAGTGCTGGAACCCAACTCCAAAAACTGTTCTTTTAGAAGACATACCAAAAAAAAAAAAAAGGGGGATGGAGGGGAGTTGAAGGATTTGACTGAATTACCTGACCAGAGAAGGAAAAGCTGATTAAAGAAAGAGCCAGAGGGGGAAAAACCAGAAAAAGATGACTGCTTGGGAAGGAGGGATAGACAAGGAGGGCAAACATTGACTCTAAAAGGAACCTATCACAAACACTTGCTTTGGCAAGTCCAGTATAAAAATTACATTTGCCTAGAGAATGTTCTTCTTTGCCTCCTTCCTTTAATTGGATTGGCCAATAAATTTCATTATTTTACATCTAGTAATGTCTCAGGTAAAATTAAAAGGTAGTGCTTTCATTCTATCCTGTTGTTCACTGGATTAAAATAAAAATCACGACAAAAGGTGATTTCAAACTTGGAAGGCATGGGCATAGGATCCTGATAGAACTCCTATTTAACAGCGCTGTTTGTAGGTCGCTGATGTATCAAATACTGCATTTAGAATTTAGTATTTTATTTCTTTTAATTCTTACAACAACACAAAATTTTTTTGTCCCTATTTACAGATGAGGAAGCTGAGACTTCTTAAAGTGGGTGAACCAAGATTCCAGTAATGAGTGTAAAGAAACTAAAACTCTTCAATGGTAATGGTTTATGCATAATTACTAACAGGACACCAAAGTGTCTTAGGTTAGCAGATCCCAGCTCCTTTCCTCTGGCTTTTATTGAAAACAGGACATGTACAGTCCCAGTAGAAAGACTATCCTCTTTCTGAAAGCTAAAAAACAAGAAGGAACTCCAGTGGAAGTTGAACACAAGTACGATTTTTAACATCAATTGATGCCTTAGCCACGCACAATATGTGTTTTACTGTGACTTCAGGGTGAATCAAAGAGGAAAATGGAGTAAGTTGGAGTATCTGCATAACTAGCCCTATTTCGAGACCTTAAGAGGGTCTCAAAACCAAGAAATTGATTATCCTAGTGGGAGTTTCTATCACCTGAGGTAGCGTCAGGAATTAGAGGTGCATGTTTGATTTTAAAATGGTGGAAACACGCTGAATCCAGAAATATTTCATTGCTGGGTTTATTTCGTCTCCAGGTTCGGTGGCCCCAGTTTTCTCCTTCTCCACCCAGTCTGGGCTATTCCGCAGCTACCTTTTGCATCACAATGGCCTTGGTGAGACTGGCAGACAGGATTAACAGAATTCGCAAGGGTGTGTGTGGGTGTGGGGCTGCCAGGAGGGGCGGGTCTAAATTTGGTTGAGCCTTACTTATAAATCTAGAGCCTCCAAATTTTTCACCTTTTGCTAGATAGGGCTGGTTTGCGCTTGTTCCTGTAAAAGTGACTCACTTCATTCTGTCTTTTTGATTCTTTTACATCTGGAGATCTTTGCATTTCTCTAAATTCTTTTACTGAGATACTTAAGCCTGGGCCTTTCTTACAATCTAGCTCTTTGGTTTTTTTTCCTCTCTGCTTCAACTCGGCAACATGAGTGTGGATCCAGCTTGTTCCCAGAGCTCACCTTGCCCTGAAGCATCCAGTTCTAGGGAACCTTCGCCAGTGCCTGATATTTATGGGCCGGAAGGAAATTATGCATCCTTGCAAATGTCATCTGCTGAGACACTCAACACGGAGACTGGTAAGAAAAAATTAAATCCTTGAAAGCCTGAGTTCCTTAAGGGAGAGAGAAAGAAGGAAAGGGGGAGTAAGGGTCATCTTTTTTCCCCTCTTGAGCAATTATAGCCCATTAGTAGAAGCAGGTGTCATTATCTATTTATCCTGTGACACCTCCTTCAATCGTAATTTAGTGGCGCGTGTCCTTTCACCTATGTCCCAGGTGTCAGGAGTTGTGAACAGAGGCTAGGGACATGGGACTCAGCAGTTAAACTGCATACCGTATATTTGAGACTTAATGAATAGGCACCGTGGAAACACAAATGTGTTGTGATAGTAAGCTGATGTATAAATCTTAACATCGAGCCTGGCACAAAATAACAGTAAATATTGCTAAACCAAAAGTCATAACATCACAGCTTGGGGTGGGGGGCCGGTTGTGAGCATCACCTTTCTGGTTCATCTCTTCCAGGAATGCTTTTTATGGCTAATTATATGAATCTTAACCTTATTGAGATGTTTTATCTTCTACAACAGTAGCAATTGGCTTTTCTCCCACCCTTTGGATGTGTGGGTGTTATTGGGCAGCTCTGTTTGTGAGCACATGCTATGCTCAAATCTCCTAAATAGCAAGGAAGTGTTCATCCCATTTAATGGTAGATGATTCCAAAACGTTTAACCTGCTGACAGTCGATGTGGCTAGAGCTTGGATTTGAGACCCAGTCTGGCTTCGAAATAATAACTAGCAGTGTGGGGAGGATGCTCGGGATACTGTAAAGCCGGTATCGCTTTTTTGGAAATCGTTTTGGAAGAAGTTAAAAATAAAAAGGTAAACCAACTTTTTTACCCAAGAATGCCATTTTTAGTATAGTATAAAATAATAGCTTAAATAGCTATTTACATTATTATTACACTGTAAAACTGGTTATGGAGAAGGAATGAGTAAACAAAATAAATGCTACATTTGAGTGTTAGATTTTAATGTTACCTGTTTTCCTACACTTTATGTTAATATCCTTCGATAATTTCAAACATTGTAAATAAAGCACTGGAATTTGAGAAACAGCTTTTATTTTTTATTTTTCTATATAATATGATTTTAATTTTATAAAAAAATGTGCATATCTTTCCAGAAGACTACAAGGATATACAGAATTTTTTTTTTTTTTTTTTGCCTTTTAAAGCCTGCATTTCTACCGTGACTAGGCTAGAATTGGAGTTAAACACTGGGAATTCCTCAATGTAAATAAGAATGGAAGTGCCTCCCAAATCTAGTTAATAAGGAAAATTAATTTTCAGTTACAAAGTCAGTATACGCCAGCGCTAGACAATTTTTATCTGTTACCTCATTTTAATCAATGAAGAAACTCAGTGAGGGAAGGATAATTTTGGAGACAGGTTACAGAGCTAAGAAAAGCAAAGCCTGGCTTGAAAGAAGCTTATCAAAACTCACATGACCTGTTCTGATATTTGGAACTGGGCAGTAAACTGTTGATTTTATAGGATTTTCAGAAACTGATCATCAGTTTATAAAAATTATGTAGGTAATAATTAAGATTACAAAAGGAAGTTACAGAGAGAATACAGTAGGTTGGAGTCGGGTAATCAATCCATTTGACCTTTATGAACAGCAGGGTGTTGTCAAAGAGATTTGAGTCCCACTATGTTCCCCAGCAGTTTTAGCCATAAAATGGTGACACTGGTACACTTGACTAGGCAGAGTATTCTGAGTTGCTTAAGAATTGTCACTACCTAGCTCTGTGGTTGTGAGGACTTCAAAAATGCTTTGAAAACAGTACATTTGCAAACTTAATATTTGAAAAGTATCATTTTATTCCCAACAGTTTCTCCTCTTCCTTCCAACATGGATCTGCTTATTCAGAACAGCCCTGATTCTTCCACCAGTCCCAACATTATCCTACCCACTTTCGTAGAGAACAGCACAGTGAAGAAGGAAGAGAAGGTCCAGATCAAGAAGCAGAAGATCAGAACTGTCTTCTCACAGACCCAGCTCTGTGTGCTCAACGAGAGATTTCAGAGACAGAAATATCTCAGCCTCCAGCAGATGCAGGAACTTTCCAACATCCTGAACCTTAGCTACAAACAGGTAGGGTTGTTTTGTTGTTTCTTTTGTAGTAAAAAGTGAAAATAAAAGCTAATTTGCAGATGAGGATTGCTAACCTCTTTCTCTGCACTGTGTTATGCACCCCTCCACACAAATAATTTAATTTTAATATGAAAACAATGTTTTTCTAACGTGTTTCACGACCATCTTGCATAAAGTAGTCTATGGTGTGAATGTGTCATAATTTATTGAACGTTTTCTTCTGTTGCACAAACCAAAATTGTGGACGTTTCCAATTTTGCCTTAATCAAGGGAGGTGTGTATACTGCTCCAGATTAGGAGGGAGCCTAACCAACACTGAGTCTCATTAAAATAAAAACTGCATCTTTTGTTTTTATCTGCATTCAATTGCTAATGAGGTTACTATCATTTTTCATAACATTTATTGACATTTTATTCAGTATGATATTTTATGGTTTCCTATCACTGGTGCCATAATTAGAAAGTTCTCTATTCCATGATCTTATGATATATTTGTGTATATAGATAGATAGATATTCTTCTGATCTTCCTGTGATCCGATTTTCTAACTTAAGTTTATAAACTATGAGGAAATTTTAGTTTATTGGGTGCTACGCTATAACTTGATATTTTCTAAATAGTTGTCATAGTGGTATATTTCATAATTCCTAAATTAAAATACTACCGTTATCATAAAATATGTAATGTTCTTTACAGGGAAAGGGCTTTTTTGTCAAACAGATTGCCTTTAACTGACTAATGTCATGGGTAAACCAAAGGGAGATGAGTAGACATTTAAATGTGTACTTCTGATTACTGGATTTATAATGTGTTGTCTTTAACTGGTTAGGTTTGTTAAACAGAAAGCAGACAACTGACTTTTGAAGGGCTTGAAAATTCATTCATTGAATATTGGTTCTAGATTTAAAAAGACTCTACAAATTCAAATTTATTCCTGAGCTTAAGACAGTTGTAACTGTCAGGGGGAAAAAAATGTTAACAACATTCTTCGATCCCTAGCACGTTTGTAATACTAGCATTTCATGTTTTCCTGTCACTTTTTTCCTGCAGATTAAAACCTGGTTCCAGAACCAGAGAATGAAATGTAAGAGATGGCAGAAGTACAACTGGCCAAAGAATAGCAACTGCGCAATGCGGGTAACAGGACACTTACTTTTCTACTCTTTCCTTTCAATGACTTTCTAGTTTCGTCCATTGCCGAAGCATACTTCCCAGCCACAGACAGTTATGATTTCCTTTTACTCTTTCAGTTAACCCACCCTTCTCTTTCAGAAGGGCTCAGCAACAACAGAGTACCCGGGGCTCTCTTCCTGTCACCAGGGATGTCTGGTGAATGCTTCTGGTAACCTTTCCATGTGGAGCAACCAGACCTGCAGTAACCCAACTTGGAGCTACCACTCCTGGAACAGTCAGACCTGGTGCCCCCAAGCCTGGAACAACCAGGCCTGGAACAACCAGCTCTACAGCTGTGGAGAGGAAGCCCTGCAGCCCCAGATCCAGTTCCAGCAAAACCGTCCTGTAAGTGATTTGGAGGCCACCTTGGAAATGGCTGGGGAAAGCTATGATGTAATACAACAAATCCCCAAGTATTGTAGTGTCCAGCAAACCATGGATTTATTCCCAAATTACTTTATGAACGTACAGCCTGAAGATGTGTGATAATGGCTACACTGTTCAGTCAATTTGGGCAGTGGCTGTATCACTTCTAGAATTTTTCTATGGGTCCCTGCCTTGATATGTGCCAATTTGGAGGGGTGGGGGTGGGGCGTGACTGGAATCTAATCAAAGAGGTTTCTTTAGCCTTGCTGCTATAGACAAAATGATAAAAGATGTCTCTGGCTATATATAACTAGCTGTTATACTATTTTGGGTATTGTCTTCAAAGTCTAGAATCCTAACCTCAAGAAGAGAAAGTAAAAGTACAAAGATGTGTGATGAAGGATGATACATATTTTCTGGGCTTGAGAAGCTTGTTGAAAACATCTGTAAAAACATCTGCTCAGGTGAAGGGTTAAGCTATAATGTGCTTCATTGATTTCCTCTGCCCCTTTTGCTGTTTTACTACAACTCCCAATTTGTAAGAGATGTTTTGTATTTTGTGTATCATGATAATAGTACCAGTTGACTAATTGGTTTATAAGTTCAAGTACAAATAAAACATGTATTTTACCTTTAGCTGCCTCCACTCTTGATTTCACCCAGTGATCCAATGAGTAAAAATTTGCATGGGTTTTTATTGTATATTTGATGTGGGGGGTAGATTAACAAATCTCTAGCCGTTGGGGAGACTGCTATCTAAGAAATGAGTAAAGGAAAAGTAAGCTAGGATACAATGCTAGCAGGTGACTGATTAATTAAACCTGAATAAACTTATTTCCTCCTTGTGTATGTAATGTTAAAACAAAATTTGTAGTTATTTTGCACTTAAAGAAGAGTGCCACATCTGGAAGACGTGGTTAAGCAGAGCTCTTAGTTTTATAAAGAAGCTAAATGAAGAGCAGCCAGGGGAGAGACCAATAATGGAATCTTGCCCTATAAACTCATATGGTAGGTTCTGTGATTGCACTTCAGTATAATTATACTCTGCCACAACTATTTGATATAAGCTTATTTTTAAACATTTAAAAACTAAAATTCCAACTTTTATTTTTTAGACAACCACAAGGTACAATTTAATGTGTCATTTTACCATGAATCTACAAATGTATTAATGTTGTTAACATTTTTAAAAATTGGGTCAGACCCCATGTGTGTGTAAATTCTAGGGCTGGTTTGACATGTTTTTTGTTTTTCGTTTTTTCAGGTAAACTATGTTCTCACTTTAGAAGGAGCTAAGCAGCCCTCTATAAACTGCTAACCCTTTATTCCTGTCCTTTCTCCGTCTGGCTTGCCCCAAACTGATCTGATTGGCAGCACTTTTTATTCACTGCTCTGCCTTCTTGCTTCATGGAAACTCCAAGCTTTCTGAAACAATAGAGATGCAGAGAATAACCAGAGCAGTCTTATTATTGGTCATTTTCCTCGTGGTTCCCCCAACTTTCCAATGTTGCTTTATAACCTTATCCAATCCAATTATCTAGACATGTGACAAAAGGGGAAGTCAGAAATAATTTTTCCCAAGACCTACAGACATTTCTTTCAATTGTCAGATAGTTTGAGTTTCGTGCCAAGCACATGGACCAAGTAGATAATGGAAACATAAAGCGTTCACTGAACAATCAAAATAATACATGAAATACCATTTGCCAAGTCACCACTCTTTACTCTGAAAATTCATGCAGAATTGAGTGTAATTTTAAAAACTCATCTCAGTGTTGCTGCCACCTGCCTTTTTCACCTCAATGTATGAGTGAAAGAAAATATCTTAGATTAAATTAGAGCTTTTTTAAGATGTCACATTTCTATAAAATTCTTGGCTCTAACTAACTGCACATAATAGACAACAAATTGGAAGAAATAATAAATGGTGAATGAGAGCCTAGAAACAGGAAAATAGCTATTACAAAATGAGAGCCCAGGAAACTTCAAGTTTAGCTCTCCAGAGCTAAACCATGCCATGAAACAATTCTTTACACCCCTTATTGCTGTTTGTCTTTGGATTAAGATTGGTTTATAAGACATTGAATAGGCAAAGAAAGAATGGCTAAGAATTAAGGAAGATTAAGAGTGGCATAAAGAATAGTAGCACCTATTAACTTTGAAGCATCGTGCTAGATCCTAGAAGGCAGAAAAAGATGGAAAAAAGGTTAATTTCTAATAATTGCTTAATTTTGGAAATGAGCCATTTATGGAAATGTCATTTATTGTTTCTTATACCCAACAAGTGGACATTAGAATAAAAGTGAAAAACCTAAGGCAGAGGATAATAAAATCCACAATCAAGGTATCTAAGAATATCTCGATTTATCTTTTTAAAAGATTGGACATTTTATAAAACTAAAAAGAAATTTACTATTGAAAATAAATTTAAGTACTAGAGAAATACATAATGAAGTTAATCCAGGAATCCCATCTATTCAGTAATTAACACTTCCTACAGATATTTTAGTATGTATAATGTGGGTGGATTTATATGAATTTTAATGGTATATAATAGGATTATACCATACATTGTCTTTCAAAATCCATTTGTTTTTCACATAGCATTAATATCTTAAACCTCTGCAGGTCAGAATTTAGATATATGTATTTGGAAGAATCCAAAAAATTGATAACTACATTCAAAAACAAGATTCCCTTTTTCCCTTAAATATATTTGCCAAAGTTGAAATGGTTTCTTAATATTCTCTACCAAAGCATTTCTGATATAAACAAAAGAGTAAAATTCAGGTAGTTGAAAAAGAAAAAGATTAAGTTTTTTGGTTCTTCGTAACGTCTCAGTGTGACTTTGTCATTCTCTTAAAAAAAACTATTCATAAAATATTAAAGCGATCATTACATACAGTTAACTCTTAACATCTCTTAACTTTGATGTCTTTCCATGCATACACATGACACATAGTTATAACATTTCTCCCTATCCAAATATGGGATTATGTTATGCATTTTGTTCTGCAGCCTGCTTTTTCTACTTAATAATATATCATAGATTTCTTCCCACATCAGTATATTTTGATCAGCTCATTTTAATTGCTGTATAATGTTACATATTACAGATGTAACTTAAGTTGTTTCTGTTTTGGTTATTTGCCCACAAATTATGTTGCTATTAACCTTGTCATTTAATTTAAACATGTTAAGACATGTTTTAAAATATCAAAAAATGTTTTCATAAACAATAGAAATTAAAACTCATACTTGAAATTGCAACTATTTTTTGGATTGGCCATTTTCTTGCTGATTTCATTGTTAAATAAGAACTCGTTAATTGGCTCACTTATTATAGTGATCTAAAAAACACGAGCTATAATTCATGTGTTCTTAAAAACTAAAAAATGTATAGTTAATATCTGATAAGGTAAAAGATTGCTTTTTGAAAACTAAGCTAATAAATATTAGAGCCAAATTCACTCCCTGTGCAAGCCAGCCACCATAAAAGCTGAAAGAGGCTGCCAAAAAATAATTAGGAGGGGTACAAACCCAATTTAGAGCTTTTCAGCTTATCCATTTTGGTCACAGGATCACCAAAAATATAGACTGGTATAATAGGATACAATGTAAAAATGAAATAATAAATTCACCCACCAGCCTCTCCACATTTTCATAGCCCTTCAAAATCTTGCTCTCTCCATTCTCCCAAAAGGAGGTGGTTGTCACTTCCAATGTAATATTTTAGTCTCTTTATTATATTTTAGCTTTAAAAAAAAATTACTTTGTCTTTATTTTCAGCTTGCATTTTCATTTCAGTTTGTACCTGAAGGAAAGAAGCAAACTGGAAAGAATTGGTCTTCTGAATTTCATAGTCTGGATTCGAAGTTCAGAAGTAGAAGTGTATACTTTGCTTAGTGAATTTCGAGCATCCCATTTTGGTGGTAAAGGACAAGAATAATTGTGTTTTGAATTATCGTACTATTCGGAAAACTTGGTATCTCCAGGGAAAAAACAGGCCATGACTGCAAACCCAAGGTAAAGGCAGACAACTGACAGACAGCGGCAGGAAAGTGGGGGAGGGCCTTTAGTAAATATTGTTCCCAGGGCCAAGTGAGCTTTGCCTCAAGCGGTAGATAAAGCGGATTTGTTAAATAAAGAAGCCGGTTGGGGCAGACAAAAGCTTCTGGCACAGGAAGTTGGTTGACTAAGGATACCGAAATGTAGGCATTTGAATAGCTTCCTTGGTGTGAGGTTGAAGTGTAACCTATTTGAAAAGAAGAAGCAGCTGGTGGCCAGTCTCCTTAAGCGATTTCTGGTTCTGGGTGGTTGATGTAAACTCTGGTCCTAGAAGAAAGTGTCCTTGAGAATTTTAGAAGGTTAAGTGCCTGGGAAATGCCTTTAATGCAAAGGTAGCACTACTTCCATGTACACTAACAAACCTATCGAACAGAAAAACTCATGGATTAAATTAAGATGCTAGAATCAAATTAATTAAACACATGGCATGAAGCATGGGGAATGAGAAGGGTCACAGTAATGCATTTAGGATCCAAATAGAGAAGAAAGGGCCGTAATGTTCATATGACCCATCTCTCTGACACATGATGTGGTGATAAGAACTAAGGACAGGATTGAAGATAAGAATTTATGGTTGAATTAGGGCCAGGGTTCTGCAGAGGAAAGGTACCTGGACACAGTCACACAGGCTTGCTCTGTCAGAGACACCGACAGCAAGGGCCACAAAGGTAGCCCTCCTTAGCCTGATGAGCAGCTATAGAATTTATTTTCACTAGTTGGTCAGAATGCATGTGGAGCTGGAATGGGTGTCACCAATGGATGGCCAATTTAAGAGGTACAGATTTTGAGTGCCTCTGGTGTATAAGGACATTTAGTGTGAGACCAGGTAAGAGCATTAGGTTCCTCTTGCTCCTTCTACCCCTTTCTGTGTTGTGTGCACATGTGTCTGTTTATCTGAATCTAACATGTCTTACTGGTTACTAACTTATCTATAGTTAATGTGCCTTGTATGTTACATAAATTTCATTTGTTTTCCACAGTGAAAGTAAATATTCTCAGACAATACAGTAAGTACACACTACACCAGATTAGCCACATAGATCTGTTCTTTC